ACACACACACACACACACACACACACACACACACACACAGGCACAGGCACAAACACAGCTCTATCAGGGTCCAGGGCCACCACTCAGGCCACTCTCCCATCACAGAACAGCCTAAGTCCCAAGACCCCTCCCCGAAAGCATGCCCTCCTCACTGCTCTCAGAGGTCCAGCTCAGCGGAGACTCTCCTCTGTTCAATCAGCTTCACAGGCTGCTGTCCTCACAGTCTCAGGATCTGGGAAGATCTGGAAGTTCAGGAAACCGCTAGAAACATGAAACCTCTTCTTCCTGTCTAGCCCAGAGTCCACACCTTCCTCCAGGCTAGGAGCCTTCAAACCCACTGAGGCTTCAGTTACCTCCTCTGGTCACTGTCGGGCTGCTGTGCGGCCTGCTCCTGCTCCTAGAACTCCCAGGGCCTCAGGGGATGAGTGTGTGTCTTGTAGGTGACATTCAGCCTGGAGGGCCCCAGTGCTGACCTCTGTCCAGCCGCAGGCTGGGGGCAATTCCTCAACGGAATAGACTTCCGCTGCTACCAGGACTTCTTTTCCCTCAGCAAACAGGAAAGGACACGTGTCACCTGATCTTTCCTTGGGCTGCCCTCCCTGGATGTGTGGCCTCCACACCCTCCCACACTTGCTAGCCCTTCAGACTGCCAGGGGAGGGGGCTGTCACCTTTGGGGCCTGCCCCTTCCTCTCTTCCTCCCAAAGGATCCATCCAGCCTTCCTCCGGCTCCTCACCTCTTCCTGCCAGCCTGGTCATTGTCACCTCAGTTCCTGGCCTTGGTATACTCCCAGCCCCAAGGCCTGATGGCACCTGGGATGGGCAGTGCCCCTTCAGATCATCCAGCGGTCGATGACCAGAGGTGGCTGGGCCAAATAAGAAGGAAGCGACAAGAAGCAGGGCTGGAGACCTCTCTTCCTTTGTGAGTCTTACGGAAAGAGCTTAGCATTTTCCTCAGAAGCTCTTAAAAGGGAGGAGGTTTTCAAGCTTCCTTTCCTTCTCTCTCCCCCCCAAAACCTGGTCCTTCAGAAGTCTCTCCTCTCCCCGGGCCTCATAAGGCCCCTGGTCAGTGGTTCAACTAATACCATGGTCTATCAGGGCCCAGGAAACTCCAAGCATCTTGGCTCTGCCTTTGCAAATTTGACCCCAGATACAACTCCCTCCTCAGGTTTCATCATTTTTAGCCAGAGAGAAGTTCCCCCTGGTCCTCAGAGGAGGCCATTCTGACCCACCCTCAGGCCAGGCTGGGCTGGGCCTGGTTCTTGCATCTCCCTCTATAGCACCCTCACATCATGTAGGCGGGGACCCTGTCATTGCCTGTCCTTGTCACCCTCCCTTGTCATCATCTCTGTGCACAGGACCCTGCTCCTGCAAGTCCAGTCTCTGGCCCAGCAGTTGTGCCATCTGGGGAACAGGCCAGCCCAAGGCGGAGGGTGACTCGATTCTCCTGAAGGCAGGATTATTCCAGAAGCAGGGCGGCGGGGTGGGCCGGCGTGGGGCCTCAGGCTTTGTCTGCTCCAACAGGGAAGGGGTCTCTTCCTGGCATAGGGAACCATGAGTTCCAGTCCTGCCAGGTGGTGTCTGGAGCAAGGAGGGGACATGGTCAGCTACTTCACTCTCCTCTCTGTGTCTGTGGTGGGCAGTTGCTACAGGTGGTCAGAGAGAGATGCCCTTTCCCTGCCCAGGTAGCACAGAGGGGCCTTGAGAGAAGTGAGATATGTTATCTCACAGAACCCTTGGCCACTGTTTTCACAGCTCCCAGCCTCACGTGGGTAAGCACAGGTGTCAAGCTCTCTAACTGAAAGGTTTCTAACTGAAAGCTGCTAACTGAAAGGTTGGTGGTTTGAAACCAACCAGCTGCCCAGAGGGGAGGAGATGTGACTGCCTGCTTCCCTGAAGATGTAAAACCTTGG